TCGCCATCTTATATGATCTATGAGATTAACGGGAATTTCGTAGATCCGGCGATTTTACCTGGGCCTATAAAATAAAGTGGACTTTCTAGTCGTGGACGATGTCCCTAATACTTGATAATTGAGCTTTTAAGATCGGGATTCTCGGCGGAAGAAGGATGAAGCTTTGCATCTCCTGGGAAGTGGGCTTTGCTGCTCAGGAAAGCCGCGTGCAAAGAAAAGGTGTGAGTTTCAGGTGGGCTTTGGACGACCCTACGGGGGCCCACTTGGACTTTGCTTTTATGGGGCAAGTTGGGGGTGAGGCCCACCACAATTTGCATGCCATGCATGCATGCAAGAAGACGGAGGAGGGATGATGATGACACGTTTAGCTCCCGACAATAGAGCACTTTCGAAGCAAAGGAGGCATTATGTATTATCCTCCACGTCTAGAGATTAACAACTTCATCTTTTACTTAAGCCTAATGGAGAGTTGACTCCGTCGTTTTATGCAAAGGAATTCTCGCCAATATCGCTCATTGGCATTCCCCCAGTTCATGGTCAGAGCGTTCGGACTATACGAAAGTGAAATATCAAGCATGGCGTCGTACTTCACGATTTAAATATAACTCGACTGCTGAAAAATTTGGTTTGTGCAATATATTTCTTGATCTTCTCCCTCCATCGGCTGGTGCCTTTTCAATCTAAGGTATTAGTCTGTACAAAAAAAAAAGGGTAATCGTGAAATTTATGGTTAATGTATCCATAGTTGGAGGCACCATAGTAAGATAGAGACTCCTCTTCCATTTTTTCTTATTAATTTTATGCACTACCGGAGGCTATGAAGTCTTAGCTTGGGCATGCTTGAATTGGTATTTTGTCCAACACTAATCTTCCGAAAATGGTAAATTCCAATTTGAAATATGATCACACATCTAGTGGGTGTGGGATCTTTATGGTAATTGCCTGGAGGAGGCAGTCGCACTTATCCCCCTCTCTACCCTTTTATTGATAGAAAGAAAAAAAAAACCTACAGACATAACATGTGCCTATCATGCTAATATAAATTTGTTGTCAATTGTTAGGCAACGCCATATGTTAGTCTAGGTCTACTTCTAACTTTGTAAAGAGCCCAGGCACCGACGAACATAGTTGACCCTCAATATCGAATGGAAGGTGGCAACATCGCAGATGCTCTATCAGCGCGCTGTCTCTCAATATTCTTTTCTTCTTTTGGATTCTTTGTTTTTTGCTTTTCTTTTATTTTTGGGCTTTTTGCTGATAAGGCACTCACTTGGCGCCACAACTCCTCAAATACAAAAAAAAGAAAAAGAAAAGAAAAAAGAAACAATCCTAAACACCAGTATGTCAACAATTTTTGTCACTCAAATTGGACAAGGTTAACAGGATTCTTCAATGGCCCTGATTGTACAATGTTTCAGAACTCCGCTTGCATTAAATAAAAGTTTTAGGACTTTAATGATACTTTCAAAACACTTCTTAACTTATTTTTAAACAATAACACACTCCCACATACACAAAACAAACCCAACTCTCTCTTTCTCTCTCACACGATGAGTATATCCGAGGTCTCCCAATGGAAGGGACTCCAAAAGCGGCGACAGGTAGAGAGAGCGCTAGAGGCAGAGTGAGGCTTAAAAGAAGGAGAGATGGAGGAAGGGAGAGAGGTTTTCTGATGAGTGTCATAATGTTCACCCAAAATTTTAAAGAGAGCCAGCAATCGGAGGCCGCACCCATTTAGGGATAGCGGAAAACACAACACACCGCATGCGAATTTTGATCCTTGCGAAACCATATTCCAATGGTAAATCTTTCCTGCTCTTTTTCGCAAGAAACACAAACAATTAACTCCCAAATCGAAGGTAGAACTACACGCTTGGATCTGTGACTCGTTTCAATATAAGCAGACCAATATATTTCCAAAGAGAAAGTTCGAAAGGCACATACCAAAGCGCTTTCCTCTTCATTTGCTTCGGTCACCAGGCTTGTATTCTTCAACTCGTTGAAAATCATAACTAGATGATCTCGCTATCTGGTCTCGTTGAGACAACGGTGTCAAAGACTGATAAGTCCGCATCGCTATTGGAGAGAAGCTGCGCGTACTGGATCAGTTCCAGGTATGCTTAAAGGATATGGCATTGACGTTTTGTTCGGAGAATGACCTTAAATTGCTACGAGTGCGCACGTTCCTAATGATGCTAGCATTCGTGTTGCCTTGAAGTCGTCCGGGGAAATTGAGCTTGCCTTGGTGCCTTTGAATCTGAGGGCCTGAGCTTGGCCTTGGTACTTTGGAAACTAAGGGCCGCGTTGTCGTAGAGAGGACTGCTGCCTCGGCCCTGTCGAAAGTGCCAAGCCACACCCGAGCCGCTTTGTTCAGGTCTGGTATCTCAGCAGCCCATTTCCCTCAGTCTTTGCCTCACTTCTCTGAAGTGTCTCCTCATCATCTTGTTACTCTCTTCACAAACATAAGCAGACCAAAAAACGGAGGCTTGTTAATTCGGTTAAGAGTGCGAATTGAGAAAGCTGAGATGGAAAAACATAAAAAAGAACAGTGGGAGGCTCAGTTCTCGCCCATACTTGGAATGCATTGTCCTCTTAAGAAATGACTGATTATCATGAACCATATTTTTTACCTACCAATCTTTGATGAGTCTTCAAAACATTTCTAAGTGCACATAATCATTATACTTTGAAGACGAGCTTTATCAAAATAGATCTTGTTGTCGGAGGTGCGCAATCTCGGATTAAACCCGATTTTATGCAAACAATCAGGTGTCCTCACATTCATTCGTCCTTGCACGTGTGTGGTACACACAGACAGAGAATTGCTATGATGTTGTAAACAGCCCCAGTACCAATGTAGTGGGCACATAAATCGAACCAAATCACACATTTCCACCTGGAAGTCTCTGGGAAATTATCTCTAGCTAACGTAAATGCCCGTCAAGGTCCTATTTTCCCGTTACTTCACTCGGGTTCTCCTCAGAACTCTCTCTAGACAATATGCATTTTGACAAATCACTTCACAAATAAAGTCAAAAGCATTAAACTCATAAATTCAAATTCGGCCAAGAAGTGAAAACTAAAACTTTAAGACCAATTTGCAACGGCCAACTATTAAGGCTAAAACATCTAATACTTTTGGGATTCTCGCAAGTTTTAATGGAAATTATGATTATTTCCATAGACGGATTGGACAGTTTCGCACAAGAATTTAATGTCCGGCTATCTTAGTAAGGAAAAAAATAAAATAATATTGTTCATTTTTAACAAAGAATTCATGCGACCATGTGTGCTTGAGCTAAGAACTCTTGCATGTCGATAATTCACTAATACGTGTGTAAATTATTCGTTATGCCGCTAATGGATCTCATAAAACCCCAAAATTAAAATAACTTCAATCTATGTAAATATATTATACCAATCTTCTCTAAGTATTGCCTTTAAATTTGTCACTTAAGATTGCCGATTGCTAAAACAGAGGTATGTCCAATCATCAAATAATTGTAGCAAAAAACGTGAGGTTGTCTGAGTAGATTGTTTTGTGTGGGATTGGATAGGAGAAAACTAGGGATTAGTGTAGAAACATGACTCGCTTGGTTGATGGCTAATTGAAGCCTTAGGTTTCAATTTGGGTCAATTGAGGACTTTGGGTTTTAAAAAGGCCATGATCGGGTTTCAAGCTCGTTATATGTGAAATTCAAGCATCAGAAATTATACGTGGCAAATGACTGAATATTTCACGTGGAAGTCACGTAGGGTTTTCAAAGTTTGAATTCCACTGATGGCGAGTTCGAGACTTGATTGGAGCTTTTTTGATATCTTAAGTTATTAATTTTCTAAAATAAAGTCTTGAGACATCAATTGATGAATGTCCAAATCGTTAAGTTTGTTTCCGCATTTGTCCAGAGAAAGTTAGAATCACTAGTCAACATTTTGACCGACAGTCATGTGTGGAAGTAAACAAGCATGAAATTGACATTCGTCCGCGATTGTAAATTTGTATGGTGGTTAGTAAGTTTCAAACTGTATTAAGAAATTTGGATCGGGAATTATTTGGCCGTTCAATTATTAGTTGGTCAAAATGACGAAATAATGGGTTTATCTATGCCAAGTTCAACAACAGATTATCAACTGCATTGATAGTGAAATAAAATAAATATAATATTTACCTCTATTTAATTTATCGAGATAATAGATTATCATGAACTTTACTGGTATATAATTTTTTGTGAGACGAAAATTATCTTGAGGTAATTGTGTCATGGAATGCAAGTTCGAGATTTTTTGTGAGACGGAAATTAATTTCGGATAAATGTGACATGGATACCAGTTTGACATTTTAATAGTATTAGTGTGAGATAATTTCAAATAACAAATTTAGCATCGTGTTTATAGCAATAGAGTTTTATACCCGCACAATCTTAGTTATGATTCAAAATGAAGCTAGGGATGTTAGTATTCTGGTACTCGCCCTCAGGTTGATGCGTGAATATGGTCAATGCCTTTTACTTCTTAATGGCATCGTAAAAATATTCGCGAGTTGCTTGAAGATATGACCGGTGATACTAATGGCTCTTCTTTCCGTTTCGCTACTAAATCAAAGTGTTATTTACCGTGACGGCGCATTATGTGTGTATTGCACTTATTACACTCCCAAACCTTAGATTGCGTGAATTTCAAATGGAAGTTCATCAAACAAAAGGAAAATGTATCTTCCATAGTTGTTCCTTCTAAGTTGACCGGTCAACGCAACTCAACATAATCATCCTTCCACGTACTGAACAAAGACAAGAGAAGAAAACGATAAGCTGAATACTAGACACACATTCTGTTTATCCATCTGATAACACAAAGCACATCTTCAAAGTTGGGCAAGTTTCTCCAGCCCTCAAGTTTTCTGTCACACACAGCCAAAAATAATCAATGATGGCTTCGACCAAGATAAGATGCAAGATATTGGTTAGCAGGAAAGGGGCCAGTTTTACCTGCTGAACAAGCTCCTATTCGCGTTGTCGAAATGTTCTCTTGAACCAAAACATGGTGATCATCATTGTCATTGAGAATTTCTCGATGGCCCTATCCATCGCTCGAAAGTAAGAGACCCTCCAAGATCGCTTGAAGTGCAAGATGCTGCAGAATCCCAGAAATCCCACTGTAAAACCCGGTCCCAATCCTGCATAGAACCAATTGTGGATGTCCAAATCGCGTTCGCTAGGCTTATCTTCACTACCGTCGTGCCCATCACTACTGGGTGGCTCGTCTCTGAGACAAATCTTCGGAAGATGAGCTCCACAGAGTTCGCTGTTGCCACGATAAGTAGATTCATCGTCCACGGTTCGTAGATGATTGCCGGACGGAATAGGGCCAGAGAGTCTATTGAAGGACAGATTGAGATGACTAAGGAAGTCCATGCTGGATATGCCCGAAGGGATGGTACCTGATAGTTTGTTTCTGGAAAGATCAAGAGATTCTAAGTGTTTCAGGTCACTGATGTTTGAGGGGATGTGTCCGCTCAAGTTATTCTGAGAGATGTTCAGATTTTGAAGTGCGACGAGCCTAGTGAACTCTTCTGGTATCTGCCCACCCAACATGTTTGCAGAAAGATCGATCGAGAAGTAGAATGTAAGCACATCGCCAAATATTTGGCTGGTTCCCTTTGTGTTAACCACGAAATTGAGAGTGTTCATGGTCAGAAAAACCACAAAATACACAGAATCAACCATAGACGAGAAGCTGTCAATACAATTGGGAATGGGTCCAGAAATGTTATTCTGTGCTAGGCTCAAGAAATGGAGATTGCGAAGTTGGCAAAATTGTGGAGGAATGCCTCCAACAAGGCGATTTTTCTCTAAATTGATCACTGCCAAATATGGAGAATGTTTCCCAAATGGAGGTAACCTACCCGTGTATTCATTGTCGCTAAGATCAATAAAAAAAAGCGGTAGATTTGACAAACAGATTGGGATTTCTCCAGTAAAGCCATTCCTCCTTAGGCTAAGAATGGCTAATTGCTGAAGATGGCAAAAGGATTTCGGAATCTGACCATTTAATTGGTTATCCCCAAATGCAAAAGCCCACAAATCTTGCAATGCTCCCCAACATCGAGGAAGTCTCCTAGACAGTTGGTTTTTTGAGAGATTAATTTCAAACAGCCTATTCAACTTACACAAAGAACTCGGAATGCCGCCGGTGAGATTATTACCCCAAAGTCTCAATACTCTTAATCGTGGCATCTTGTCTCCAATATCTCGGGGAACTTGGCCTCTAAGCATGTTGCTTGAGATATCTAAAGATTCAATGTTAGAGGAAATGTTGTAGAGCCAATCAGTAATGCCGCCTGAGATGCTCACATTTGACATCGACAAAGTGGTAATGTTCCTCTGTGTTTGAAGCCATCTTGGAAATTCAGGTCCCACTTTGCAATCCGACAAATCTATGTCACGAGCTTGGAACGGTGGAACCCAGGCAGAGCTCACATTTAATATGAGCTTATTAGAGGAAATGTCTAAACTGGTCAGGCTTTTGAGATTTTCAAAGTGAAGTTCGCCAACAATTCCATACAATAGATTATGCTCAAAATGGAGCTCCTTTAAATTCGATAGTTGCCCAATGCTCTCTGGAATGGTCCCGCTCAATTTGTTATTGCTTAGATACAAGTTTCTTAGAGATGATAGCTCCCCCAAATTAGTAGGAATAGAACCAGAAATCGAGTTCCCTGAAAGATCAAGGACCTCTAGTTCTTTGAAATCTCCGAATTGATTTGGTAGGTCACCGCTAAAATTATTGTCAAAAACACTAAAGATCTTCCACTTACTTTGTACGCAACCAAGAGCACCACCTAAAATGCTAGTGATATTCCCATTGAAGTGGTTAACATATAATCGTACCACTTGCAATTTACAAAGACTGCTCAAGTTTTTTGGAAATTCGCCTTGTATCAAATTTAGAGACACGTCAAAATAGGCAAGCCTTTGATTATTCTCGAAGATTGCCATGGAAAGGCGGCTTTTCAAAAAATCATTGGAAGACAAATCAATATGTTCTAGATGGCTCAAGTTATAGATCCATGGCGGAATAGAGCTTATGCTATTATACCCAATGTCAAGGAATCTAAGAGAGGTGAAATTGGGCTTGTGAAGAGCTAGAAATATGTTGCAATTCACAGTATCTCAATCCTAAAGATTGCAAAGATGGAAGCATGTTAATAGAACAGAACCAATCTTCAGCCTTCGAAAGGCCAACATATGACATGTGCAAGAATTTCAAGCCAAATAATTTCGACACCCAATCAAGGTCGTTCGAGGTTATATAACCCAAACCGAAATCACTACTAAGATCCAAGTATTGTAATTTGGAAAGGTTACTGAGTTGCCTAGGAATATGTCCGTAGAAGCCTGCATATGAAAGGTGAAGATACTCCAATTTCTGAAGAGAAGCCAAAAACATTGGGATTTCCTGGGTTGAAAAGTTGTTGACACTAAGGTCCAGATACTTCAGATACTTTAGTTCAGTTAAAGAAGGAACTATGTTACCTCCTAGCATGCACTTATCTGAAGGTTCGAAGATGTCAATATCGATCTCTTCAGTACATGGATTATGAAGATCGAGCTTCAGGACATGGCCAGTCTTCTCATTGCATTCGACTCCTTCCCACTTGCAACATTCCTCTCCAGTCCACGACGACAGGCGTCTCGAAGGATCAGTGAGACCATGTTTGAACTTCAAAAGAGCTTCTCTCTCTGCACCAATACAACTTACATTGGTCGAAGCAATGGAATGACCGAATTCGATTACATGAATGACAAAGATTGCCAATAAGATGGCAAACACAAGGCGATCGTAAGATGCCATAGGTTCTTTAGGACCTGAGAACAAGTATTTCTTTAATCATGTGGATAATGGTCTTTGATTCACCAAGAAAAGAGTCACTATAATATATCGTTGAGGTCATTTTTTGATCACTGTCCATCATGACTTCCTAAGGGACAACTCCAACTTTTCCAGGTCAATGCCTTCCAAGACCTGCCAAACGGTCAACCCATCAATATCAATCCAAAACGCGTGTCATCTTTAATCTCTGTAATAGCGTTCAAAGGAGGACAACAAAAAAATACGAAGAAAGAGGGATGCTGACAGCATTGCGTACCTCTAAAACCGGTCATTGTCAGTGTATGATTTATGATCTCTAAAAATTGGTTATTGCTGGTGTCGGCCCTCCACCGCACCCTAATTAATCTCGAAATGACCAGTATTATGAAAACTAAAGCGGGTTAGTAACCTTCATTTTTTAACAGAAATAGGCAACCCTCCTTTTATTTAAGCAACATCTAGATTAGTAACCTATACCACGATAAAAATGGAGATAATTATCCAACAAAATCCTAAATCTATTATATGGATAATGATTCAGTCATAAATTTTTCAATTTGACAAATGCAGTCTTAAACATTTTGACGATTTCTAATATAGTATATCTAGTCAATTTAGGCTGGAAATCGTTGATGTGGCAGTTCGGTTAGCATCGACCATTCTACATGGCACGGCCGGCAGTTGATGTGGGGAGGTAATTTTTTTGGTAAGGATGTGGGGAGGTAATTTGAACGCCATTGTTTTGCAAATTTTTTAAAATTTTCTTTCTTTTTCCTTTTTCATTTTTTTCATGGTCTCCTTCAAGGTGGAGGATACAATGGTACGCCAAATCGTCTCTCTAGATCTAGGCTTTTTTGAAGTTCTATTTTTCCTTTAGATAATCTTCATTGTCTCCAATGCTCTATCAAGGTCGAGCCTGATGTCATCTCGCTCAATGACCGGGACTTCCTTAAGGCTGATGCCGAGATCCACAATGACAGCAAGCTTCATGTCACTGTGAGGAAGTCCATTGTGTCGAGGCAGTCCCTCGGCTCCGGCTCCTTCTCCAAGTTGACCCCGAGGTTGTCGAACTTCACGTGTGCCAAAACTTACACCTTGAGCTCATCCCGGAACCCATCTTGGAACTTCACTGGCTTTGGGCGAGGGTCATCGGCCATCACCAACACGCTAACGACCTGTCGGTCCATGTCGGCAGAGGGAAGAAGATGAATAGAAGAGAAGAGAAGAATTGGGAAAAAAAAGAAAAATAAAAGAAACAAAATTGAGAAAATAATTTCAAAACTACGTCGTTTCATTTAAGATAGTCCACATCAAATGCTTATCGTGCCATGTAGGATGGACGACGCTGATTGGATCGCTACGCCAGCGATTTCTAGCCTGAATTGGGTGGATGGATTACATTGGAAAATAGTCAAAAAGTTTAGTATTACATTGGCCAAATTAAAAAATTTAGGACTGAATTAAAATCCGTATAATATGTTTATGACTTTTTGGACAATTTTCTCATATAAATGCAAAGGAGAAATCCCGCGAGGGCCTTTACATAGGTGGGTCTCTGCGCTTGTTTTCGAAGGTTCTTCATTTTGAAGAAGAAAATCTCTTCATTTGAATGACCAGTGAAATAGCACAATCATGTGAAGGAAAATCTTTGCAAAATTAAAACGTCTTAGGAAATTGATTCAAATGGTTATAGCATTATGTGACAATTTGATAAATTTAAGTTATGGTTTTGTTCATTATTCTTTCTGTAAAAGTTGTTTTGGATGCCAAATATGCATGATTTTATTGTTCTCGACTGTATCCTAATTTTTTGGCCAAATTACGTCGGAACAACCTCATAGATCTTTCATGTACTGGATCTCATTATGCCTTTTGGACTAGATTTCTAATCTCATATCTACATTCAATTTTCCGCAATTAAATAGCAATGAGAGGCAGTTTTACATTGGTAAGTGTTAAAAAATTATTGATGAAAAAAAATGATCGGTGACTTTTTTTTATTGGTATTTATTAAAAAATTCTTTGAATTACCAATTCTTTTACAATTTGCAAATTATTGGATTTTGAAGTGACTTACCAACATTTATATGCATAACTTAATAAAAGTTTCGAATTTATTAACTCTTACATGAAACTTTTAACTTAAATTAAAGTAATTTACCAACTTCTCTCAAATTGTCTTAACAACTTGTTTGGAGCTACCAACTTTCATTTGAGACCATGCTTGAACTTAGAGCTTCCGTCTCTGTATCAGTACAGCTTACATTGGTCGAAGCTTTGGAATGACCGAATTCGATTACTCGAATGACAAAGATTGCCCATAAGAGGGTAGACACAAAACCACCATAAGACGCCATAGGTTCTTTAGGACCTGAGAACAAGTATTGCTTCAATCACGAGTACAATGGTCTTGATTCAGCAAGAAAAGAGTCGCTATAAAAAATTCTTCAGGTCATTTTCTGATCACCGCCCGCCATGACTTCCTGAAGGACGACTCCAACTTTCCAAGTCATGCCTTCCAAGACCCGCCAAACGGTCATCAACCCATCAAAATCAACCCCAAAATACACGTCAATCTCTATTCTGTAATAACGATCGAAGGAGGACGACAAACAAAAAAACAAGAAAAGAGAGGATGCTTACAGCACTGCGTACGTCTAAGACCGGCAATTGTCAAGGTATGTTCCCGTAAAATTTGTCATTTTCAGACGAAATGAAAGTGGAAGCTCGACTCAGAGAAAAGCAATGGGCATGAACAGACAGAGAATTGAAAACGAAGATGACAAAGTGGTTGACGCGCAATGCAAGGAGTTATTTGCAAATAGAAGTTGGTGTGCAGTCGAAGCAACCTGGTCGCCATAGAGGCAATGCGTCACGGATCAACCGGTTTGCCACCAAAATTGGAGAATTTCAAGCAAAGTGTCACTGACAGTTCAACTTCTCGTGAAGAACACGAGAGGCTTAGGCGTTAGGAGAAAACAAAGCTCGCACGCACATATCAACACTCCCCCGAGAGTTCATCCATTCAATTTCCTTGTATTTTCGCTTCTTTGTACATTTTAATTCCTATAATCTCGAAATATATTTTCATTTTAATATCCTTTTAACTTCTTCCCCGGTGGTGTGGAAAAAGTGCTGACCTTCCAGAAATTGGTTATTTCCAGAATTATTTTTTCCAATAATTCGAAATAGCATATGCTGACTGCTAAGTATGTGGCAGACAAAAGAAAGTGGAAGCACGATTAAGAGAAAAGCAATGCGCATGAACAAACAAAAAATTGAAAACCAAGATGACAAGTGGTTGACAATGACATGCAATGCAAAAATTTATTTGCAAACAGAAGTCAGTGTGCAGTCGAAGCAACCTGGTGGGCATAGTGGCAATGTATCACGGGATCAAGCGGTTGCCCCCAAAATAGGAGGATGACAAGAAAAGTGTCACAGACGTGGTTCAACTTCTCTTTAAGAACATTAAAGAGGCTTAGGGGTCATAAGGAAACAAAAACACATGCACGTATCAACACTCTGCCGAGAGTTTATCCATTCAATTTCCTTGTATTTTCGCTTCCTTCTACATTTTAATTCCTATAATTTCCTTCTAATATATTTTTATTTCAATATCTTTTAATTTCTTCGCAATTTACATTTCACGGCACTTACAGATTTATCACTCCATCCATGTCTCATTTGTGCACTTTGTGCTCGAGTGTGGAACCATGGAATGATTTCGATCGCTCTCCAATTGTCTAAAGTTCAAATGTCTTAGACTCCGTCGATTTTTGTCAACATTTTTTTTCGCACGCCCAAGTAGATCTACTTTCACTGAGAGAGAGCAAGTGTTGTGTGCCATGAGTAATAGAAAAAAAATAGAGAGAGAGAGAGAGAGAGATCTACTTACTAATTAGTTTGGTGGGCACATGCATTATTTTATTGAGATTAATGTATTCAGGTAACGTGAAATGTACTATCATCATGTAAGACATTTATTACATACAAATTTAAGTAACATATCATTGTTTCTTCCGTAGATGATATTGTTCTATGTTGTTATTTTACACCGGAATTATAATAGCTTATAATATAACACCGTCTATACTATTGATAAAGTAAAGTGGACTGCCTACTT